TTCGTCGATCCCGGTTATATCTTTAATTATCTTCCTCTCGAATACTCAATCGAGGAGTATATCTAGTTCATCAAGGGTAGTTATTAATAACGAGACACGTCCATTAATAAAACTTACTATCGAGTTAATATAGAACACGTGCCATATATTAACCCGATAGTAGCAATAAAATCAAGATGAAAACGATGGAGATTGATAACCTCAACACAAGCGGTTTATCGGTTTAATCAATATAATTAATTCCCATTCGGTTACTATCCATGAGACGCATGCATTAACAACCCAAGTATACCACCGTGAACGGCCCGAGTTAATAACAAGCGTATTAATGGATCGATTCTAGTAATAATTAATATATGAAACAAAACTAGTTGATCCTTTAAGTAATGCTCAAAATATTAATATGAAATAGGAATAAGAATTAATTAATACTCCCTCCGTTTCTAAAAGAAAGTCACGCTTTGACTTCACGATTATTAAGGAAATATATTGAGTTTACTGTAGAAAACACTGTTTAGACACTGTTTGGCACTGTTTGGACACTGTTTGGCACTGTTTGGCACTGTTTGGCACTGTTTGGATGTAGATTTCTTTGCCAAATAAGGAAATAAGGGAAGTGTGACTTTTATTTTGGCACATCCAAAAAAGGAAAGTGTGAGGTTCTTTTAGAAACGGAGGGAGTATTAAAGGAAGAAGATTAAAGAAAATAACTCACAACTTACAATTCATTAAGCTTCAAAGTAGCAAAACCAAGATGGAAGAGTTTAGCTCCTCATTTGGAGACTGAACATGAAGAAAATATAAAGAAATAACTTGTCTAAACTGAGCTTAGAAGTATATGTGAATTGATATGTTTATTGTGCAGGAAGGGGTGTATTTATAGGCTTTTGGGAGCTGCAGGGTCTGATACCCGATCGGGTATATAGGATACCCGATCGGGTATCTTAGGAAATTGCCCAGAAAGTCACTTTTATGGGCATACCCGATCGGGTATGTCGGCATACCCGATCAGGTATGTGACAAATCTTCATGAAAATTTGCTCCCACGATCATTTGTTCCCGGATTTGATTTGGACAACCGAATCAAATTGTTGAGTTTCATCCAACACGATATAGTAAATATATGTATGAACACTTAGTTTTTACGTGGAAGCCTGAAAGGGAGAAAACCACGGGACTTTTTAGGCTAATGTCCAAGCCCTCTCTTTCTCACCTCACCATTACATAGTACATTTTGAGCTCCCATTAATGGAGTATTATCTAATCTAGAGAGCTAAAGGAAGAAGGAAAAGGATCCTTTACATGGAGGGAAAACCTCCTATAAATAGGGAAAGGGGTGAGGGAGGTACTCCACCCTAATGGGCCAAACGGGCCGATGTCGGGCCTAATGGCCAAAGTGGGCCAGAATGGGCCGAAATGGACCTAGCTGCTCGGGCTCCGTACTGGATAATGTCTTGGGCTCCTGAACAGTAATAGGCCGGGATAATATATCCCAACACAAATAAATACCCGATCGAGTGTAGGCAATACCCGACCGGGTACATGAATATTTTTTCCAAATTGAAATCTTTCTTGCCTCCTTGGACTTTCCTTGATCTTTTAAGGTCCAATCTTGATCCCTTGAATGATCTTTGACCTGTTTAACTCAGAATAATCCAAATCTAAACAAATTACAAATAAAAAATGAAAATAAGGTATTACACTAAAAGTGTGTAATTTCGACAACTAGAACTAATAAAAACTAGTTAAAATACAAACATACAATCAGAAATTACATGAATATCAGGGTGTCAACGATTCTTAGAGTGGTTCTCCTGAAAAAGTTTTTTTAAAGGAAAACGACTATATTGATATCATTAGAATCAAGATCGTTACATCAATCTAAAAGTGATCAGAACTGACAACAAACTTTACCTTTCAACAACTACTAATAGCCCTACGATTATACACATAGACAACCACCCCTAAAGAAGCAATACGAATCGCTAATCACCATATAGGCTTAATACAGCTACTGGTGAAAAAATAGATCTGTCCCCCACTAACAATATCAAAACTAGTCGAACCCTTGATCAACGTAAAAAACCTATCACCTTAAGCATAAGCAAAAAACAAAAGGACTGCAACAAAATTCTAATGAGAAGTCTAAAAATGGGGATAATGAAATTAAACAAAATGAACTTATTGAGAAGCTGAATCCAATCTTCCAGTGCGTTGTTTCTATCCCTAGTCACCCAATTCTGGCATGGCAGTGGTTCACGAGGGGGGCGGATCTTCATCACTTCATCTTCTTCCTTCAACACCTTGATCTGCCCATGATTCGCCGCCTTCTCTTGGCCAAGATAACACACAAGCATAACCAGTCCGAACACGAACAATCTCCACATCCCTATCATCTCCCTTGAGGTACAATTGAGATTCGCCAATTTCCTCCAAGCACAAATGCACCCGCGTTCCACCCCTTCCTCCAGATGAGGAAAAAACTAGCAAAATTCGGGACACTGAAGCGCTAAGAGAGCTATAGCGCCGCCCGCCGAATAAACCTAGACCTGCTAGGACCGCCGCCGTCGTGGAACCTAAGGCTTTCACCGCTCCGATGCGATGAGGAGAACCCTAGGCGCCGTGAAGAGGAGCTCTCATTTCTCGAAATTTTATATTCTCCTGAAAAAGTTATTACCGCCATCTAATATATTACAAATGATATTCTTTATAGGATTTCATTATAGATGTAATTTAATAAGTTTTAATAAAAGAAAAATAAGAAAAAGAAATGGAATTAGAAGATATAAAGCAGAGATCATTGTAACACCGTCCCCGAGTATATTTACCTTTATGTAAACTCTGTATTGAACCTTGAGAAATGAGTAATGAATTAGCGAGGTTGTAAATTTTTGTTATATCTTTTGTGTGAATAGTAAATTCCACGTGTAGCCCACAACGAGGGCGGGGGATCACACGATATTCCGAGGCCACATATGATATTCATCTTGGTCTAGATAATATGTATATAGTGGTGGATATTCAATTTGGGCTATAAGAGAAGTTGATCGGTTGGTCAAACAGAGCCCATGTACCACTAACAGTACTTTATCAGATAACAGCCCATAATTGATTTCAGAGACTTCTAAATTAAAGTTGGGTGATGTATACTCATTCTAAAGGCCCATAGTGATTGGGAACGTGAGATATATTTTATTTGGAACAATAAAATAAAATATAACTAAAACAGTCCGAGAAAATACAACTTTCGGGATCGATTGTACACTTCGAGGCTTAATGGGATGACCTCCCACATGAGTGGGGGCACCCCACGTTTTTGCATGCTCAAAGTCAATTGGAGACAACCAAACATGCTAGGAAAGAGGGCTATGGTCCAGAGAGTTGGAAGATGGGTGAGAATAGACTTAGAGGTGGACCTCACACCCACACTCATTGGTCTACTGAAACAAATTAAAAAAGGATTATGTGCAACCCCATCTCCTTCATTTTCGACCAAGTCTTCTATTTTGAGAGGATAAGATGTGAAAAACTCATCCTCCATAGCCTAATCTCGAGCTCAAGCAAAGGAGTGCCAGAAAGGAGTTTTAGAGAAGAGAAAAGTGGAGAAAAGTTTGAAGGATTAAGGTAATTAATGACCTTGTATTAACCTTTTCCCCTTCTCATCACATATTGTATTGCTAGTTTGTAATATGAAGGACCCCTAGGATTGTTCTACATGTCAAGAAGTGTACAATGAGGGCTTTGAAGGTAGTTATAAGTTCAAGAACGAACTTAGAAGCCAAAGAGACCGGTTCACTGAAAAATAACTTTTTAAAGGTTATTTGTATTGATATGAGTTTTGTGATGTTAAAACCTTGTTAGGAACTTGTTTAAGGTGTTCCTAGAGCTTTCACAGAGTCGAAAGAGTCTCCGGAATAGTCGCCAGAGTTCAACGAAGCTCACCGAATTCACTACTACAAATATGAGATATCACGTCACACATATCACGTCAGTTATTGAAAAACAGATGTTATATAATATATGAAATTTGTACTAACGTCAGTTAGTATTAATAACCGACGTAATAAGTGCAATTAAAAAATGACGCTTACGCTTCTGTTGACGGTCTTCTCGTTACCCGGCGTAATAGGCTAGCATTTTTAGGGCGGTTTCCTTATAATCGACGGGTATATTTTATCTATATATATATATATATATAAAGGGAACCGTGGGAGATAACTGTTCCCTCCCTAAAACCTTTTTGTTGATACGTTGGCACATTTAGCACACGTGGCACATTCAGCAAAAGTAAATAAAATTGGATAGACGTGCCCCTGTAGTGCATAATACGTAGTATGAGAATATGAAAATTTAATTGAACATAATTTCTAAGACTTTTTGAGCTGATCGGCAAATGCAGAGAATGGACACACGTGACAATAGAAGCCCCAGATGTGTACACGTGGAAATCTGAAATATTGTATGGTCTAAATTTTGTTGATATTACATTTTTCGTAGTACGTGGAGGTTGCATACGGGCATATGGCAGTTTCCACTCAACGATCAAAACGTGGACGTATGGATGGTTACATTCATTACAATAATTACCATTACCTGTAGAAAAATCGCATGCTTAGTCCATTATAAACATTCATTCACGGTGTTGGAGGGAATGTACTGCAATTACAATTGATTTTTTGAATGTTTACATTTATATATACCGTGTCTTCTGGTTGTGACTTGTGAAGATGTTAATCAATACGAGTAGAATCCAAGAGCTCTAAGAAAAATTCGGCAATCCAAGTAAGCCGGCCTGGTGCGTAACCATGGGACCAACACATTAAGTGCATTCTTCAAGAGGTACGTTTTTTGGGTGTTCACAAGAACACTCTTGAACAAGAGTAGATCCGCCTCTGCAGGGAACTACCCCAAATGACGACGTCCGGACAAAACCTCCTATATAAGAGCTTATTTGACATTTTTTAATGAATTCAAAGGCCTATTTGACCATTTTCTCTAAATAAAAAGTGAAGAAGTTCTAGCTCAAAAAAAGTGAACCTACATGGCGCATCAGATTTTTATTTCCCGACAGCTTTTTTTTAAAGGAGATTTTATGATCGCATCAGATTTTTATTTCCTGGAGACGGTCTGATGCCCTCGTCCTAGTTTTGCTTATTATTCTTTGAAATTTGAATTCGGTAGCTTATCTGTTTCCTTCTCTCAGCGCTGCGGATTGATTTGGATCGATTCTATTACGTTTCGGCCAAAGTGCACATGGCGCATTATCGGTTCCATCTCGGAGCTGGGGCAAGTAGCAGGTAGGAGTATGACTCAATCTGAACTATTCATCTTTGTTGGTTGTGTTTGTTTTGTGCTATGGGCCTATGGCGGTCTTTTCTCGGGCATTGATGCTCTGACTTGTTTTGTCTCTCTCGGTGTGGGGAGTTACTTTGGTGTCCCGAACAGTCTCATCTGGTCAGGTGCTTCTATCTGGCATCTTTTGGATTGCGTAAAAAATGGTAGAACTCGTCCTCCTCTAGAACCATCTCCGTGTCAGGAAAGATTTTGACCAGTGGAAAGAGTTTATTTCAATTTTATTTTTCCTTCAGTAGTACGAAGTACTTATTTTTATTTTACTTCTAGTATGTTTGGTTTGGATATTTGGATTTCTAGAGTACTTTTGATTGACAGTATTTCTGTTTCGATCATTTTAGGCTTAAATTTGCCCGTTTTGTGTCTAATGGATCAGGTTGTTTTGTATGAACGAGGTGGCTTATTCTAAGTCTATTTCTAGGATTTGCGATCGGCTCTGTCACAACTGTGTGGAAGTCGTCTTGTATGATTTCTTAATATTATTATAAAAAGCCGCTCTTTTATATTCAAAAAAGTAGATTTTATGATATACTCCCTCCGGTTCTAAAATAAGTTCCGGTTTTGACTTTACACATATTAAGAAAAGAAATTTGACTTTACTGTGGAGTGCACTGTTTTGCATTGTTAAGACACTGTTTGGCACTGTTTGAAATTGTTTGGCACTGTTTTGATGTAGATAATTTGCCAAAGGCTAAATGGTCAAATAGGTACATGAACTAACTTAAAGTGTTCAATTAGCCCCTTATTTAGGAGGTTCTGCCCGGCCGTCACCAATTGGGGCGGTTCCCGGTGGAATTTAATGATGAAATTTTTTGAGCATCTTCTTCATTAAGTCTAGTTTACCCATATCAAATTTCAGCTAAAAATTAAATCGGGAAGGCAGTCAAATGATTTTCCGAAATGTATTGCGCTATTTAACCGCGCAGTTATCTTCAAAAAATCATTTGTCTGCCTTCCCGGTTGAATTTTTATCTGAAATTTGGTATGGGTAAACTAGATTTAATGAAGAAGATGCTAAAAAAATTTCATCAAAAAATTCCACCGGGAACCACCCCAATTGGCGACGGTCGGGCAGAACCTCTTATATAAGGGGCTAATTGAACACTTTAAGTTAGTTCATGTACCTATTTGACCCTTTAGCCTTTGCCAAATAAAAAAATGTTTGAAAGTGGAACTTAATTTTGGTGTTGCCCGAAAAGAAAAGGTGGAACTTGTTTTAGAACGGAGGGAGTAATGTTTTGGACAATTGGACGAATAATCAAATAAACGATATGTACGATACTCCATTTTTTATTGGGTACCAAGTACCATAGTTTTCACATTTTTAAAATCCTTTCTCATTTCGATCGTTGTGTGTTTTTAGTTCTTTTCTCATAATCTCTTTTCTGTGTATTTCCTTCGAGTTGCTGCTCTTACATTTTGCGAATATACTATGCAAAAGATGAAGTTCATATGATGTACTCGTATATATTAGCTCATATGATGTATTAGTTTCTTCATGGATAACATAACACAACACAACATAACATAACATAAAGGGTATCTAATAAAAATGAATGTAGTGAATAGTTTTTAGATCTACACAACTGCCAAGTAAAAAATTGATCAATGAAAGCAATTTTTCTGTCATACAAACTTCCCATTATTATCTAAAATACTGAGAAATACAATTATATATTCTCTCTGTACGGTAGATAGGACACGCACTTACATTCTTAACTAGTTATTCCACCCGTGCGCTGCACGGGAGTGAGACACCCACATAATAATTTAGATATAATTATTTATTTAAAAATATTTAGAAAACATGGTTGTGTTAGAATTATTTGAAAACATTAAATAAATTCTGAATAAATGGTAAGAACTAAATGTAAAACATCACACGATGAAATGGATGTGCATGTAAGTCCACCACGCTAAAACGAAAATTATAAGTTACTCTATAGTACATTTTAGGATTATAGGCGGAGAATGTTTAGGTGGAAGAATTTGCTCTCTCCAGTGTAGTACTTTTATGTATAGGATAATGCCTTTTTTTGCGGAAAGTGAAATTACATTTCAGGATTATAGGCAAAGAATGCTTAGGCGGAAGAATTTTCTCTCTCCAGTGCACTGTTTTAGGTATAGGATGATGATTTTTTTTTTTGCCGAAAGTGAAATTACATTTTAGGATTATAGGCGGAGAATGCTTAGGCGGGAGAATTTTCACTCTCCAGTGTAGTGCTTTTAGGTATAGGATATATTGAATTGATGAAATAAAAATAAAGTAAGAATGACTTAGGGTCACACAAAATTTACCAAATTTGATAAAAGACAATTTTAGTAATTCCACCCGTGCGCTGCACGGGAGTGCGAAACCCACATAATAATTTAGATATAATTATATATTTAAAAATATTTAGAAAACATGATTGTGTTAGAATTATTTGAAAACATTAAATAAATTCTGAATAAATGGTAAGAACTAAATGTAAAACATCACACGCTGAAATGGATGTGCATGTAAGTCCACCACACTATAACGAAAATTATAAGTTACCCTATAGTACATTTTAGGATTATGGACGGAGAATGTTTAGGTCAGAGAATTTTCTCTCTCCAGTGTAGTACTTTTATGTATATGATAATGCTTTTTTTGCGGAAAGTGAAATTACATTTTAGGATTATAGGCAGAGAATGCTTAGGCGGAAGAATTTTCTCTCTCCAGTGTAGCGCTTTTAGGTATAGGATGATGATTTTTTTTGCGGAAAGTGAAATTACATTTTAGGATTATAGGCGAAGAATGCTTAGGCGGGAGAATTTTCACTCTCCAGTGTAGTGCTTTTAGGTATAGGATGATGATTTTTTTTTGCGGAAAGTGAAATTACATTTTAGGATTATAGGCGGAGAATGCTTAGGCGGGAGAATTTTCTCTCTTCAGTGTAGTGCTTTTGGGTTTAGGATAGGATGATGATTTTTTTTTTTGCGGAAAGTGAAATTGCATTTAAGGATTATAGGCGGAAAATGCTTAGGCGGAAGAATTTTCTGTCTCCAGTGTATTGCTTTTAGGTATACAATGATGATTTTTTTTTGCGGAAAGTGAAATTACATTTTAGGATTATAGGCGGAGAAAGCTTAGGCGGGAAAATTTTCTCTCTCCAATGTAGTGCTTTTAGGTATCCAATGTAATGCTTTTAGGTATAGGATGTTTTTTTTTTGCGGAAAGTGAAATTACAATTTAGGATTTTAGGCTTAGGTGGGAAAACTTTCTCTCTCCAGTGTAGTGCTTTTAGGTATATGATGATGATGATGATGATGATGATGATGATGATGATATTTTTGCGGAAAGTGAAATTACATTTTACGATTCTAGGCGGAGAATGTTTAGGCGGGAGATTTTTCTCTCTCCAGTGTAGTGCTTTTAGGTATAGGATAATGATTTTTTTTTGCGGAAAGTGAAATTACATTTTAGGATTATAGGTGGAGAAAGCTTAGACGGGAAAATTTTCTCTCTCCAATGTAGTGCTTTTAGGTATCCAATGTAATGCTTTTAGGTATAGGATGTTTTTTTTTGCGGAAAGTGAAATTACAATTTAGGATTTTAGGCTTAGGTGTGGGAAAACTTTCTCTCTCTAGTGTAGTGCTTTTAGGTATATTGATGCTGATTTTTTTTTTTGCGGAAAGTGAAATTACATTTTACGATTATAGGTGGAGAATGCTTAGGAGGGAGAATTTTCTCTCTCCAGTGTAGTGCTTTTAGGTATAGGATGATGCTGATTTTTTTTTTTGCGGAAAGTGAAATTACATTTTACGATTATAGGTGGAGAATGCTTAGGCGGGAGAATTTTCTCTCTCCGGTGTAATGCTTTTAGGTATAGGATAATGATTTTTTTTGCGGAAAATGAAGTTGCATTTCAGGATTATAGGGGGGAATGCTTAGGCGGGAGAATTTTCTCTCTCCAATGTGGTGCTTTTAGGTATATGATAGATAATTTTTGTTGCGGAAATTGAAATTACATTTTAGGATTATAGGTGGACAATGCTTAGGCGAGAGAATTTTCTCTCTCCATTGTAGTGCTTTTAGGTATAGGATAAACGGAAAATGCTTAGGCGGGAGAATTCTCTCTCTCCGGTGCTGTGCTTTTAAGTATAGGATAGGCGGAAAATGCTTAGGCGGAAGAATTTTCTGTCTCCAGTGTATTGCTTTTAGGTATACAATGATGATTTTTTTTTGCGGAAAGTGAAATTACATTTTAGGATTATAGGCGGAGAAAGCTTAGGCGGGAAAATTTTCTCTCTTCAATGTAGTGCTTTTAGGTATCCAATGTAATGCTTTTAGGTATAGGATGTTTTTTTTTTTTGCGGAAAGTGAAATTACAATTTAGGATTTTAGGCTTAGGTGGGAAAACTTTCTCTCTCCAGTGTAGTGCTTTTAGGTATATGATGATGATGATGATGATGATGATGATATTTTTGCGGAAAGTGAAATTACATTTTACGATTCTAGGCGGAGAATGTTTAGGCGGGAGAATTTTCTCTCTCCAGTGTAGTGCTTTTAGGTATAGGATTTGGCTGCTGATCAGAGGTTTGCTTCTTCTTGAGTTTCTTTCGCAGATTGACAACAATAACACAAATGATCGCGCCACCAATTATAGCGCCCGTAACAGCCCAACCAATAATTCCCTTAAGATTCATGGTGGTTGTGCCCGCCCGGCCCGGCTGCGTTGGCAAAGAACTAATCAATGGAAGAATTTCAAACTGGCAGTAAAAAATGTAAAATGCTTTTCCTTGATCATTCCATGGAAATTACCGAATGGAGACGCCGCTTAAGTAGAGTTGGTGCCGTATATTTCACGGAGCGCTTCTTTCTAAAATACCCCGGTCTATATTTTGTTAAAGTTCCGGAAATTAAAACAGTTTAAAATTCCAAAATATGAATGTCATGTGTTTTATTCCCAAAATAGGAGTAATTATTGCCAAGTTTGAAAAATTCTGCCATGTTTGAAGTCTGGTATTGCCAAAACATGACAGTAATTAGTCCTATTTTCAGAAATACAAACATGGCAGTCCTATTTTGGAATTTTTTAAACCTTTTTAGTCCTATTTCAGGTAATATTTATCTTTTGTTAATTGCAAAATAGTAATAATAAGCTTTTCGCAAAGTTTGAAAACAGTAATAATAACAATGAAGACTTTATTTATTTCTGTTGCTTTTCCTTTTATTTTGTTCACGTTGTTTTTTTCTTTGTTTGGAACTTTAGCGGTAGGTTGAGTTTGGTTTTTTCTTGCTTCGCGTGGGATGTTGTTTTTGGTGGAAGCGATAAGGCTTGCTTGGCCGTTAAAAGCTTCGAAACTCTCTCATGGTTCGTGAATAGTCTCGCTCCTTCCGGGGTGGTCTATTCTAAGTCTAGCCAGAGAGTAGGGCTGAGATTTTGGAACCGGGAACCGGAGAACCGGTAAGAACCGAACCGGTAACACCCGGTTCGGTTCGGTTCCTGTTAGTGGGTTAAGAATTTTAATCGGTTCGGTTCCATGTGTTTATTAACGGTTCGGTTTCCGGTTTTGGTTTAAAAATTTATACTAGAACCGTTAAAGAACCGATAAAAAAATTAGGGTTAGCCGGTAAGGTACTAAGGCAGTATCGTAGCGATAAGTTAGAACAAAATAGAAATTGCTGAACGCCTGAACCTCCAGAGCAAAAGGCCAAACCTAGCGGAGACCCCGCTCCCTCGCCTTCGACCGCCGCTCCCTCGCCTTCGACCGCCGCTCATCGTCGACCGCTGCTTCTTCTCCGCCAAATGCTTCTCCCACTTCACTAACCGCCGATATCCCATTGTTTACCGCTGCTATCCATCCATATTTAGGTAATGAAGTTTTTAAGCTAAACATCTGCTATTTAATTGTTTAACACTTCAAGTTCGTTGGTTTATGGGTGTTCATATGTATGTATATAATATACACATCTGCTATTAATACTTAATAGTCTAGCCGTTCCTAAACCCATTACTTCACTAATTTAGAAGTGTATTTGTCTCTTTAATTTAGCTAGTTTATGGTGTTCATACGTATGTATATAATATATGTATATATATATATACATATATGTAATTATTTATTTAGAGTGAGTAGTTAACAGTGCTTGAGAGTAGCTATTTCTTTACTGTTTTTTAGCAAGTAGTTAATTAGAAATTTTAATTGACAACATTTCTCAATACAAAGATGATTGTGTGTCTCGCGGCCCATTCTGAAGATTGTTTAACTTGGGAAAACTATATTTTGTCCTCGAACAAATGATAAAGTTTTGCTACTGTAATAAGTAATGACGAAGCATCACACCATTCTCCTTGGTAATTTTTTTAGGAGCTTTCTATTTTTTGTTTGGTTGAATTGGTAAGGGGCATCTGTTTTTTATTGTTTATGTTTTGTTATGATGGGGCTATTTTAATATATTTACGTACTCTTTATTGTAGATCAAATTACTATGAATTCTGAGAAGTCCAATGCAAGTCAGTCAAGTGAACCTTCCAAAGGTATCAAAAAAAAGGAAGAGGGCTGCAGTGAAAGTAGAGAGGAAAAAACGATCTTGGGTATGGGGACACTATGAGACAGCAATGAAGCCTCTCATGAAAGAAAATGAGCAAGGTATAGAGGTACAAGTTGGACACACTCAAATATCTACGTGTAAGTATTGTTCTACTGATATTGCTTCCGATTCAACAAGAAACGGAACTAGCACACTACAAAAACACTTAGAACAACACTGCCCCATGTACCCTGGCTGTGTTAAAAATGTGGGAGTAGGTCAGAAACACCTTGTTGTTGACAATAATGGTGAAGATATTGTAGTTACTCATTGGACTCAAGAAAATTGCACTAAAGCGGCTGTTGAAATGATTGTTATAGATGAGATGCCCTTTAGTGCAATAGAGAAAGAGGGATTTAGGAGATTTTGCAAAATTGCAATTCCGAAGTGGAAAGTTCCCTGTAGGAAAACAGTGGTGAAGATGTTTTTAAGTATGTATAGCACAATGAAGGATGATTTGAGAGCTGATCTAAGAAATTATTGTGTTAGCTTAACAACGGATACATGGACTTCATTGCAAAATATCAATTATATGGTAGTTACTGCCCATTTTATTGATAATAGTTGGACTATGCATAAGCGAATCCTGAACTTTTGTGTCATTCCAAATCATCAAGGGTTAACGATAGGAAAGCTTCTAGAAAAATGTGTGCAAGATTGGTCAATTATGAAGCTTTTAACAATTTCTGTTGATAATGCATCTTCTAACAAAGTTGCATTGGATTACATAAAGAGGAAGTTAAACAATGGTGATAAACAGCTTGTTCTTGGTGGGAAGTATCTTCATGTTAGATGTTTAGCTCACATTGTAAATCTTATTGTTAAGTCTGGTTTAAGATGCATGGAGAAGTCGGTGCTTTCAATTAGAAATGCAGTGAGGTATGTGAGAAGTTCACCTGCTAGATATGATGCTTTTAAAGAATGTGCTAAGAAAGAGGAACTCGAAAGTAAAAAAGTGTGTGTCCTGGATGTGCCGACAAGGTGGAATTCCACCTACATAATGCTTGAGACCGCACTTGAGCTCAAAGCAGCATTTGATAGGCTGGCTGAAGAGGAGGAATCTAAGTATAGTGGATATTTCGATGAAGAAGAAAATGAAGATGAAGAACTGAGCTTCACAGGAGGGAATGGCAGGAAAAGAGTGGGTCCTCCTGTTGAAACTGATTGGGATAATTGTGCTGATTTTGTGAAGCTTTTGAAAGTTTTCTTTGATACTACAGTGGTGTTTAGTGCAACAAATAAGCCAACTGCACATAAAGCATTCTTTCAAATTGCTACCATTAGATCTGAGATTGAGGATATGTGGTCAAATGATTCACCAGAGTTACTGGAGGGTGCACAGAAAACATTATTTGACATGTCAGTCGAGATGCAAGCGAAATATAGGAAGTACTTTGATACTGTTGATGATATGAACCAAATCCTCCTTGTTGCTTTGGTTTTAGACCCTAGATTCAAGCTCAAATACTTCGGTAGGATTCTTGAAAAGATGTTGAATGAATCCAGTGAAGCGGTGAAGAAAAAGAGTGATCAGTTAAAGGATTTGATAGTGCAACTCACCGATACTTATGCATCCGAAGCAGGTACTAGTGTATATTAACAATTTAGTGACAATTAAATCCATATTATTTTTATTAAGTTAATATTTCCTTTAATTTACCAACAGCTAATCTATGTTCCAACACAACAAAAGGCACAAAAGAAGTTGGAAGCAGCACAGGCAACAATAGGTACCATATATCTAAATTTATAAGTTTGTATTGATAATTTTTTTTATAAGTTAGCTGAATTCTGCCCATTTTGTTATTAAATTGAGCTGAATTTTTTTAGAGTTTTTTCCTTCATTACATAATCATTAACATTAGCTGAAATCTGTCCATTTTGGAGAATCTGTTAGAACTTGTTCATTTTGTAGGAATAAAAAACTGTCTGGGAAAAGGGCGATGATGTATGAGGATTGGGAGAAAGATCTTGAAGAAGGGAGTTCAATTGTAGTTGCTCATGAGGTTGACAGGTACCTTTTAGACCCGATAGAAAAACATACAGATGATTTTGATATTTTGACATGGTGGAGGCTCAATGGGCCAAAGTACCCTAACATGCAAGCAATGGCTAAGGATGTTTTAGCAATTCAAGTTAGTATAGTAGCATCTGAATCTAGTTTTAGCACGGGAAAGAGAGTTATTGATCCTCATAGGAGTTCTCTAACTCCAAGATCAGTTGAGGCACTGATTTGTCTTCAAAATTGGTTGAAGTCTGACTCAATTACAAATCTTGGGTATGCTCCCACCCCTGAGGAAATGGAGTGGTTAGAAAATACTGAAAAAGGTATTTCATGATTTTCACAATTGATTTTCACAGCTTAAATTATGTATCAATTGAGATATATCTCATATTTAGTTGATAACTTCGTATATTTTTCATAATAATTTATTACATATTTTATTCAATAGCTAAATGTAATGCAGAGTTTGAGCAAGAAGAAAGGCAAACCAAAGATAAACAGAAAGTATGAAGGAGGAATTGACGGGACATTTAGGTGGATGTGTGTGCCTTTTAGTTTTGCTGGTATGTTGTGTGGATTTTTGGTGTATGCATGTTGTTTTTGTTTAGATTCAGGACGTTTGGTTGTTGGTATGTTGTCTGGTTGTCATCTGTATAGAATTATGTTTAGTATCCTCATGACACTTGATTTCTGATTTCTATTTTCTGATTTATCTGCACCACAGTTGCTGGGTTAGTAGCTTAGTGTATGCATGTTGTTTTTGTTTAGATTCTGGACGTTAGTTGTTGGTATATCCTCATAAGACTTGATTTCAGATTTCTATTTTATGATTTATTTGTGTCATAGTTGTTGGGTTAGTAGCTTAGTATATTTGCTACATTCTAAATTTATTCTACAATTTTCAGGTTTGAAGTTTGAAGTAATAGAAGTTGATGGCTTGTCCTTGCCTTGGAGATATACGACGTTACTGTCCAGACCAACAAGGATCAAGATTAGAGATTATAATCTAAGACTGTTAATTTAGGAATTATTATGGACTGAACTGATTGTACTTTTCTAAGCTCCACTTTTTTTCTTTTTGAGCAATTGAACTTTTATGTGTCAATTCATCGTAACTTCTTACAATCCTGAATTTTTTAATTTAAATTTGATGTTTATTTCAGACGTGGTTATAGTTTGATACTTTGATTGATTACAGTTTGTGGTGTATTTTTTTTTGTGGGAAAATCTGAATTTTATAGTTTTTTTAAGAACCGATAAATGACAAGAACCGAACCGTTAACAATAGGTTCGGTTCCTTAACGGTTCTACATTTTTTTGATTGGAACCGAACCGATATCATGAGTTGTGATTTTCTTAACGGTTCTTCCGATTTTCAAGAGGAACCGAACCGATCCCAGGCCTACCAGAGAGTCGGGGAGCCTTTGGGCTTTGCGAAGCCTCACGAGGAGGTTTGGCGTTATTCGAGAGGTCGTAATTTTAGATGCTTGATTGAGGAAGTTTGGGTTGAATGTAAGGGAGAAAGTATGTTGAGACGTTTGATTGATATAATATAATCAGTTTCCATTAAAAAAACAATAATGATAGCTAGTGGATGAAGAAAATAAATGAAAAACTATGAAAAAGGATAACAACAAGCCAAGTAAATACAGAAAATATAAGAGAGTAAGAAAGTAATACGTACTTCCGGTCAAAAGTAAATTTTACAGTTCCCTGTTTGAGCAGATCTTAAATAAAGTTCACATTTCTATTTTTTTTTGTAAGTTTTTAATATAAAGTTACCGTTATATTTTTACTTTATCACTTGCTTGTACCCACTTTTTCTCTAGAATTTACTTTTGTAAGAGTATGATGAGAAACTCAACAACAAAAATTCCACTTCTTATAAACTGTAAAGTCAAAATGTGAAATTTATTTGGGACCAGATGGAGTATAAAACTTAATGCAATGAAATGAATCAAATGATGCAAATAATAAAGCTCTATCCAAAAAAGAACATATTAAAACTAATGATATTTGATGCCACTGCTCCGGTAGAATGTATGGGTATTCCAGACCCCTCCCTCCCCCTCCCCCTCCCCCCAATTACAAGCTGGCCCTCTCTGCTTCTTAGGCCACTGAGTCACTGACAGTACCCCTGTTTTTGATGAATTTCCTAATGATGTTGCCTTGGGTTGTGATTATGCTGCGGATATCACTTTTCCCGTTACAGATACTCTAAGAACATGTTTACTTCACCGGTTATTAAACGGTGCTTATTAAGACCCGTGTTAATAAGCGGCGCATAAAATAAACAATGTTGTAAGACCGTGTTTACTTCAAACGGTTTAAAACACCGCTTAACATTAAAATGTCCAAAATAACCCTACACATATATATACACACAAACATTCATGAACACAAGTATATAATATAATATGTGTACCCATACCCCTAACCCCTTACCCACCCTACCTTACCCCGACCCCACCCCACCGCCTACCCCTACCCCTACCCCTACCCTACCTACCTGACCCCACCCTACCTACCTGACCCCACCCTAACCTGTCCCCACACTACCCTACCCCCGACCCCATAGGCCCCTACCCCCATAGGCCCGTAGGGGTAGGGGTAAGGTGGCATCGGGTAGGTGGGGTAAGGGTAGGGGTGGGGTGGGGTGGGGTAGGGTAGGTGGGGTAAGGGTAGGGGTGGGGTGGGGTAAGGGTAGAGTGGGGGGTCGGTTAGGTAGGGTAGGGGTGGGGTAGGGTAGGTGGGGTAGGGTGGGGTCAGGGTAGGGTGGGGGTCGGTTAGGTAGGGTAGGGGTGGAGTAGGTAGGGTGGGGTCGGGGTGGGGTAGGTGGGGTAAGGGTAGGCGTGGGGTGGGGTCGGGGTAGGTGGGGTAAGGGTAGGGGCGGGGGGGTGGGGGTAGGGTGGGGTAAGGATAGGGTGGGGGTCAGTTAGGTAGGGTAGGGGTGGGGTAGGTAGGGTGGGGTAAGGGTAGGGGTGGGGTGGGGTCGGGGTAGGTGGGGTCCGCCTACCCCTACCCTACCTACCCGACCTCACCCTAACCTGTCCCCACCCTACCCTATCGGGGTAGGGTGGGGTCGGGGTAGGTGGGGTTGGGGTCGAGGTGGGGCAGGGATAACAATAGGTTACGGGCAAGGGGTAAATTCGGAAACTGAAAAAGCTTAAAGTGCCGCTTAATTAATACATGGGGGGGTGGTATGCTTAATAAGCGGCACTTTAAGCACCTCTTTCGGTTAGTAAGCGGCTTTTTAAGCAGTGTGCGTGTTTACTTCACCTGTCTTACTAACCTAACTGTGACTTTAGCAGTGAAGTAAACACCTCCTAAATTATTACACAGGCCCCTCAGTGGTAACAGACCACAACAAGGTCCCTCTTGAAGCAACTAAAGGAGTCCATATATAACACTATTTGTGCTATGGATACAACTATGCAACGAACACCGAATGCCTTTTGATTTTGAAGAATCACCAGTGGCCACCCTTCACGAGACGGTAAGCCGGTAACCGATGATATTCATCAAATGGTTACCTGGCCTGTGAAGATGGCAATGATACGTTTGAGGCCCAAAATGGAAATGATGAAACCCTCTCTGATCCAACACTTAATTGTGCAGTTACTACACCTCTCCCAAACCTGTCCAGTGATGAAACTATTTTTGAGGATACCGAAATGAAATATTTTTCTGTTTAAAGTCATGAAGAAAATCATACAATTGATGATGAAAATCTTGTAGAATTTACAAAGGTTAAAAGAAGAAGCAAAATCTCAATATCAAAGAACCCACCAAGGGAAGTCACAGAAGACATACAAGTACAACTATACTATAAGGTAGGTGAGATATAGATCTCATCCCATGATAACCAAAAGCCAATCAAAATGACCTCAATATGAAACATACTACTATATATATATATCAAGTCAACGAGTTTGACTCACCACAAAAACTAGCAACGGCTCTCCAGCGTTTCAAACAATTTCGTCCGGAGGAAACAATATTCAGGCCTTATCTTCAGAAGGACATCATGTTTCACAACAAATATAACAGATCAATTTCTGTCTCGATTAGGATCCCCTAAAAAAAATTCAATTGTTGATGTACCTTTTCATGATTCTCTCATTTGTATTGTTCTTTCTATTTCACCAAATGTAAGCTCAAGACTCTTGTACTCAAAACTTTATTTTAATAAAATTAGGGAGGTGTTCCCCGGCCAGTGGCGGCCATGCGGCCAGTTAGCCCAGGCAAATGCCTGGGGCCTCTTGTGCCAAGGGGGCCTCCAAATACAAACTATTACCTATTATATGTATAATTATCTAGAGTATTGATGTATTAATTGGTTATTGGTCCAAGGCTCCAACTCCTCCCAGCATCTGCCGAATGGTGAGCGGCAACCGGCTACTCAAGTTCTTAATCTTTTGAAACAGAACTAGAGCAGCACTCTAGCACGAAAGACAACTGTTCTAACTGTTTGAAGTAAATTCTGAAATTGGGTTAATAATTTGGTGTAAAGTTAAATACTTAATAGATTAGACTCATGATTAATTAGTAGTCAGTAGTATTTAAAAATTATTAGGATAATAATTTATTATAGCTATAAATTGATATTGTATGTATTAGATGGTATTGGTAGTAGTAAATTAAAGTACGGAGCAGTTTGTTTCTCGTTTTGTCATTTATTTAAAAGTTTAGGTTTTTTGTTAATTGATTTTTTTTGTTTTTATATTATTTATAAGTATGTATGTACTGTTAGACAAACGGAAATTTAACTCGAAATGTACAAAGAGAAAGAATAACTTTATTGCATTTAAAAATTTATCCTTTTGAAAATAAAAAACATTATATCGTGCACTTTGAACATGCAATTTCATATAGTTTTTTATTCAATTTATCTCATTTTCAATATAATAAATGCATAGTGAGTATTTTATGTCTAGGGCCTCCGAAGTGTTAGAGCCGCCCCTGTCCCCGGCACCCCACCATGGTAGCTTTAACCACAAAAAAAGTCCATACATAGTTCCGTAGTTTAGGGAGTAGTAATATAAACAACACTACGTAATTACTTCTCCCGTTTTGAAATGGTTTGCACTTTTAATTCTTGAGTTAATTACCTAGCACCACCACCTTCGGTCACTAAAAAAAATGTCGATCACTTGCATTAGTAATGCCATATTATTGGCAGTTTTAATAAAAAAATTGGCATTATCAAAGAGTAATATGTCATTTTCTTGGCATTTTCAAAAAATGACATTTTTTTACAAAAATGACTATTTTATTATTACTATTATTATTAGGGGTAATTGGAGTTTGCATCTCATTTTATTGTCCAAATTGGACTTTGCATCCCGTTTTTAAAAATCTTTGTATTTTCACTCCAACCCCGTATGAAAAGACAAAAATGCCCATCCATTAACAATAGTGTTGGCCTTGAACGCACGTATTCCTGATCGAGGTGCATTTTTGTCTTTTCATATGGAGTTGGGTGCAAATACAAAGATTTTTAAAAACAGAGTGCAAAGTCCAATTTGGACATTAAAATGGGAGGTCACATAATTGTAAGAGGTCAGATTATAATTTTGTCTTTTCTTACGCGCTTGTGGTTCACTTTCGATTTCATGATGTAGAACATACGCCTAAATTCATTGCAGTAAAAGTTACATATGGTAGTTAAAATTTTACGGGGTGTATATTAGCAAAGAAAAGTGCTATGTATTTTAATAAATACATATGCATGGTACAGAAAAGATCAGATCCATCCGGAGGGACGGGAGGCGCCGTCCGGCCAAGGCCATAAGAGGCCTACCCGGTGGAATTTTTTGATGAAATTTTTTGAGCATGTTCCTCATCAAGTCAAGTTTATCCATACTAAATTTCAGCTAAAAATTCAACCGGGAAGACACTCAAATAATTTTTGGAAGATAACTGCGTTTTATATGTATATAAACTGCGCAGTTAACTTCCAAAAATCATTTGACTGTCTTCCCGATTGAATTTAGCTTAAATTTGGTATGGATAAACTAGATTTCATGAAGAACATGCTCAAAAAATTTCAACAAAAAATTCTACCGGAAAGGGTCCCAAATGGAGACGGCCGGACGGCGGGTCCTGTCCCTCTGGCTGGACAGGATCAGGCCTCATGCATGGTATATGTATAGTCGTAGGGTTGT